TTTTTTTTTTTTTTTTTTTTTTTTTTTGAGACAGAGTCTCGCTTTGTTGCCCAGGTTAGAGTGAGTGCCATGACATCAGCCTAGCTCACAGCAGACGTTCAATAACTCCTGGGCTAACCGCGATCCTCTGGCCTGCCAGCCCCGAGTAGCTGGGACTACAGGCATGCGCACACGATGCCCGGCTAATTTTTCTAGGTATCATGTGGCAGTTATCTCTTTCTTTACATAGTAAGAGACGCAGGTCTCGGCTCTTGCTCAGCGCCTGGTATTACAAACACTTCGACCGCGAGAGGCAACTCCACCGCCTCTGCCTCCCAGAGATAGCCCAAACGTTACAGGCGTGGGCTCCGTGTTCCCGTGCGAGATGCATCCCTTTCTAGGCCTGTATCTTTGCGAAGATCACTTTTCTTTTCCAGTATAGAAATGCTCAGCGATACCAATGCGTTCATTCATTTGCGAGTTTGTTAATTCGTGGTGAAAGCCTACTGTAACACCCAAAAGTCGTAAATTAACTGAGAACGCATCATTCAACATATCTTACCATGAAGACGGCGGACTTATAACATTACTGATGTGTCGCAGGTCCACACCGCGCTAACTCTATGTATCAGCTTCTGATATGATCATTTGTTGCCGAGGATGAAGTACGCAGTTCTTCAATATCCAGATACTTTATAATCAAAATTTCGTTAAGCGCCCCGACAATTCATCATAGGCATCCACCAGGACTAGTATTCCTTTGAGGTTGTATATTAGAGATAGGCTGCGTGATGAGGATACTTGATAATAAAGTTTTTTACGTGAGTATTATCAGATGATTCATTTATTTTAGAGTAATAGACCAGTTGGCATTTGGGAGAACAGGCTGTTATCAATTCCTAATAGCCATCAGAAGACAGCATTGGGCCGGGCACGATGGCTCCCGCTATAATCCTAGGCAGTCGGAGCCCCGAGGCACGGCGGATTGGCTTCAAGTTTAGGAGTTCGGAAGACACGCCTGAGAACAGAGCACAAGCCCGTCCTCATACTATAAATAGAAGAAGTTAATTGGCTAATATAATAATAACTAACTATAGTATGAAGCTATATACTATATATATACACACACACATATCATATATATATATATATACACACAAAAAACATAGCTGGGCATCCGTGCGTGTGCCTGTAATCACAGCTAGACGTGGAGAGGCTCGAGGCAGAAGGATTGCTTGGAGACCCAGGAGTTCGAGGTTGGCGTGCGTCGAGCTAGTGATGCCCAGAGGGCACTGCACTCCTAAGCCTGGGCAACAAAGCGAGACTCTGTCCCCCCCCCAAAAAAAAACAGCTTGAAAATTGAGGTCAGTGCTTTTACATTAAATGACCTAATAGAATCTCTTAGTAAAATCCAAGAACTTCTTTGACCCACTGCCACTGAGGACAAAACTTTTTCTGAAACTCAGGAGGTTTGTGAACAAGTTGTGTTTTTTTTGTTTGTTTTGTTTTGCTTTTTGAGACAGAGTCTCACTCTGTTGCCCCAGCTAGAGTGCCTAGTGGTGGCGTCAGCCTAGCTCACAGCAACCTCAAACTCCTGGGCTCAGGCAATCCTCCTGCCTCAGCCTCCGGAGTGGCTAGGACTACAGGCATGCGCCACCATGCCCGGCTAATTTTTTCTATATATTTTTAGTTGGCCAATTAATTTCTTTCCCTTTTTAGTAGAGATGGGGTCTCACTCTTGCTCAGGCTGGTCTGGAACTCCTGACCTTGAGCGATCCTCCCGCCTCAGCCTCTCTCAGAGAGGTGGGATTACAGATGTGAGTCACCACGCCTGGCCTAAAGCAAATGTTTGAACTGAGAGTTTTGTGTCCTCAAACTTAGATTTCTGTAGGTAATTTATGGATTAGATCCAAATTTAACCATAGTTCAAATATTTTTAACTTCTTAAGAATTAGGAAATATTAACTCCTAATGTAGACTTTTTTCTTTAGTGGTGATGAGTCTTCCTTTTCTTTCCCCTCCCCCTATTAACCCCTGTTGTATAAATTGTGAAATTGATTTACTATATTAAGTCTCTAGAGAAATGTTGCTACCCAGAGGGCTTCTAAGATGTAATTTTGGGTAGTTGCTTAGCTACTGCTGGGTAACAACTACGTGTTTTACTGAGATATTCCAGATAGAAAAATTAACACTTGAAATTCTTGTACTTTAAGCTTTTCTAGCATATTGCTGTTGTCATTGTTGTTTAAAAGAATTATTCCAAAGCAATATGAAGATAAAATAATAATGGCTTTGATGAATTTTTTAAATGACATAGTACCATTTTTAAATTTTAGAGAACTGTTTAAGGATTTATTTATATCAGCAGCTCTGAGGAATAGTAGAAAATAAGTTTAACCAGACTTTTTTACTGTGGCTGTAGGGAATAATGGATAGAGTTAGGGTATGGACCGTGAGGTCAAACCTACCTAGGTTTAAATGCCAACGCTATTATCAAAACTGCAAGGGAAGCTAGGCATGGTGGCTGATACCTTTAATCCTAGCACTCTGGGAGGCCAAGGTGGGAGGATTGCTTGAGCTCAGGAGATCTAGGCCAGCCTGAGCAAAAGTGAGACCCTATCTCTACTAAAAATAGAAATTAGCCAAACAACTAAAAATAGAAAAATTTAGCTAGGCATGGTGGCGCGTGCCTGTAGTCCCAGCTACCTGGGAGGCTGAGGCAGGAGGATCACTTGAGCCCAGGAGTTTGAGGTTGTTGTGAGTTAGGCTGACACCATGGCACTCTAGGCAGGGCAACAGAGTGAGACTCTGTCTCAAAAAAAAAACAAAAAAAAACCCGCAAGGGATTCAGTCTAGGTCTGGTTGCTTGCAGCACAGAATAACAAATTGATAAGACAATGAGGATTGCCAAGGAAGAAAGGACATTTTTTTTTTTTTTTTTTGGCATTTTAATAGCCAGAGACAGCGTCCTTGTGGGGAGAAACCTACGCTCAGTCAGTCCCTCCCACTATGGAGAGTCAGTTTTTTAAAAGAAGGGAAATTAGCAAGGATACCTGCAATTTGGCAGGTGTCTTGAAATTAATAAGGATCTAGTGCTTGGGGTAGATCTAGAGCAGGATGGTAGATCTTGGCCAGTCTCGGCACCAGGAAGTGTGTCCAGGGGCCTTTAGAATCTCAACTCCTTTGTCTTGGTGAAAATCCACCATTTCTGGGAAAGCAACTAAAAAGTCAAGTAGTTAGTTAAGAGGAAGAGGATTGATAATATATATAT